GTGAAGTGCTCAGTTACTGCTGTAACCTGCTGTTTCAACTTGTATCTAAAGATTTCCCAGGCTCTTCCCTTCTGTTTCCAGTACCAGTTTTATAATATTTAAAAATGCAGTGATAGTCAGAAAAAGGACTTCAGTGTGTTTTCCCCCTTTTCTGCCTGTGTGTTGGTTGGAAAATGATCTTTCTCACTTTATATTTTTATACTTCTCTGTTGATGTTAATCCAGTTTTGCTATGGGAATGGGAGTTAGCCAAGCAATCCGTTAGTAGAGACCAAACTTCTTTTGGAGAGCTTATGTTCCAAGCAGAGGGATAAGTGGTCAAAAGAAAATAAAACCAAAAAACACAGATGTGGTAGCAGCTGACTTAATAAAAATGGCTGACTTGACGATATTAAATCCCACCATGTCACTTTTGTTTGCTCTAAGTAGATGAGTTGCTGGCAGAACAACACCTCAGACATTTTAAATGCTGTGTAAGGTTGAACCCACTTTAGATATCCGCATCCCTGTGGGATAGACTTGTGACTTCTGTTAGTCTTGGAGTTCTTTCTCTCTCTCAAAACCACAAAATATTCAGGATATAAATCAACTTATGTAGCATTTCTTAAATACAGTTGAGCCTTAAATCTTCATCCAGTGCTTTCTACAAAATACAGAAAAGCACAGCACAGAGGCCGATGAGGTGGCCAAAATATTCATGTGTCTTACTTGTTCTGTTGCAGCATTGGATAGCTATGCACATCGGGTGAAAACCCTTAATGTACGAAACACCGATGGTGCTGCTGTGCTGCTGCCGTCTTTAACCTATCTTGTGGGGTCCTGTCCTGCCCTATGGAGACCTCTCTCGAGCTGTGATCTTCCCAGTTCGAGCACTTGTTTAGCGCCTTTTTTTTTTTTCTTTTTTTCTGAAGTTTTAATCTTGCTAAGAGTTCTGCTAATGCAAGGACCTGTCTCTGTGTCTCTGGCTACCTTTGGAGTCCAGCCACACAGATCTCTTGCAGCAGAAGGGCCTGTGTTGGTGCATGAGCAAACGAGAACTGCTGGTCTGCCCCATCTCTAAGGTGAGAGCTTATGCACTGGGCACTGCAAAGGAACAGCAGTCTCACCTAACTCGTAGCAGTTATTCCAGCAAATGATTCCGATTCGGCGTTAGAACTGCAGCCGAGATAGCCCACCTGCTCCCCAGGTAAATGCTCTTCCCTTATGGACAGAGCCGTGCAGGAGCTGCCTTCCAGTCACAAGTATCTTGTGATACAAGACACCAAGCATATTTTATTAAAATTAAAACTTTTTTAAAAAAATAATAGCACAATCTGTGAGCAAGGAGCCCTACAGAAGAAGGGCATTGCTATGTAAAGTTGCAGGGGCAGGGAATGGTGTAACCTCTCTCGGTGACTAATAACAAGTGTCTTGGTCGCAAATGTGGATGATCTGAGTACGTATCTTAGTCAATGTGTGGTTTTCTCTGTTTACAAAGATGGTGACTTTGTGTAGGTAGTACCTGCCAACATAAAATCATTGTACAATTCCTTGTGCTCATTTCTTATAGTTGCTGTTTAGGGAAATACCATTTTTTAATGCAGGAAATAAGATCAGAAGAGAAAACTCCAGTGAGGCATGAATCTGTTCTTCTTGCACAGCTCTCGCGTCACTGAGTTACTTCATCTTTCCACCCTCTTGCTATTGTCCTTAAATATCAGGGTCTGCACATGCACCTAGGATGGGCCCGGGGTGGCACAGGGCTCCTTCTTGCTCTGCTTCTAAGCTAGTTCTGTGGGAGAAGACTCCAAAAAAACTTTCAGTGGGAGCTGGCCGTCCGCACAGAGGACAGATCCAGCCATGGACCTGGGGCCTTTCCGAGGAGCCGGGATTTTGAGTGCCTTGGTGTGCAAACCCTTCCTTTCCTCAGCAAGGGGGGATTCCTGCAGGGCTGGCATACACTGCAGCCTTGGCATTGCTTGTAAAATCTGTACTGTGAAATTCCCACCTGCAAGTGCTTCACAAAATCCCAGGCTAGGATTTCTGAGATTCAAGTGTCCAGTTCATAGGCTGTAAACAGCTCGCACAAATGGACTATTTTCTTTCCAAGTGCCTCCACAGGGGCTGCCCTCCGGATCTGGGTCCCCGGAGCCTGCGCGCGGTGAACCGCGGCGCGGGGCTGGCTCCGTGGGCAGGGCACGGTGGGCTGGGGAGCACACGGTCAGTCTGATGTTGGAGGAAACAACCGCGAGCAGTTGCTGCTTGCGTGTCCCCTGTGCACGTGTTCACGCGCAGGTCTCCGCGCAGCTCAGCGTGCCTGGCCACACAGACACATATGCACCATCACTGCTGCTCGGGGGCTTCTGTGCCCTCCTGTTCACAAGCTGTGTGGGTTGGATTTAAAGATGGGAAGACTAGAGAACATGTCGTGGTTTCCTCTAGTTTAACTAGAATTTGAACTCATGTGGTAGTTGAATTGTCTCCTGGAGGTGCAGAAGGTGCTGGCAGAGATTAGTTCTGCCAGAAGGACGGAATTATTTTATTGATGGTTTCCTATTTTTTCAAACCGTCCTTTGGAGGAGAAGTTATTTGAGAGCTCGCTGCTGCACTTGTGCCTGAGACTTTCTCAAAAAGGCAACTGAGACTCCAAATTATTATTGCTGTGTTCTGGGGTAAAAGCAAGGGCACGAACTCGGAGAGCAAGCCTCCGAACCCAAGCTCCTGCCCAGACAACTGAGACCATGAACTCTTATGAAGAACACGTGGGAAACAGGCAGATGTGCTTTTCTGATGTTTACCACCCGGTTCCTCAGTGTGTGCAGGCCACCCTTGCAGGTGGATGCCAGCTAAGGAACTGCACTGTGACTGCTGATCAGAGTCAGGCCTAGGTGACACTTTCAACTTCGAACTTGAAGAGTTTCCATGTGTTTTGAAAAGTTTATACTTAAGCCAGCTAGTTCAATAAATCCTTGCTGGATGTGCCACTGTCTTCTGAAACGGGTAATTCAGTGTTGCTAATATATATGTAGTCCCAGGGTGTGTCCCTTGCAGAAACATGAACACTGCATGTTTATTTATTTATTTATTTTATGGTTTAGCACCTTAGCCACCCTACTTGCAAAATAGCTGGTTTCTAACAATTTTCTATGTCTAACAATTTTCTATTTTTGAAAAATGCATCAGGAGACTCTGGAAACTCAAGTTATCACTGCTTTAACCTTAGCCAGCTGCCCACAGTGTTATGGGGATCTCTGAGCTGATTGGCAACAAAATGATTCACTGTTTTATATCATGCTATGAATGATTTGTGCTATGAACAACTTAAGCTTTTCCTCTAAATAAGTTTGTGAAACAAAATATTATGAGATTACGTATAAATAGATGAGCAAAACTTTCTGCAGTTTTGTCTTCTGAGCCTTAAAAGCAATTGTGTATCTTTTCCTTTCAGTCCCTATCCCTTCATTTTATTTGCCTTTTCCCCCTGGGTTTGTTTTTCAAAAGGCACTGTAAACCTGCCAAGGTCACATTCTGTTCCCTGTCGACTGGGGGCTGTCTTCAGTGATAGGAACTTCCTTGCGATCTGTAGAAGATCTTTTCCTTTTTACAGAAGGACCTACAGCACTGAAGGAAAGTTGAGGATCATGGTTTCATATTTAGATTGGTCCTTTCTCTATAAAAACTCTTATCTGAAATGGTCTGGTCCTCCTTTTCTGCATTTTTTTTTTCTGGGAGGAAAACACATGATCAGTGCAGTGAAATTTTATTTTCCGTGTGCTCAATTTTGTAAACACTCGTTGGAACTGAGTGTTTCACATGACTGTAGAAGGGAGTTCTGGGGGTCAAGGGCTTAGAAAGTTTTGGCTCTTCGTACTCGTAGCAGGATTTGGAGCTCAGGAACTGATACTGCCGTCTCAAGGGCATCCCGCCTGCGTGTCCCAGCCTGAGTGCAGAGATATGCAGCGCAGTGTTAGCAACAGGAATTCTGGACTCAAGCCAGTGGCCGGCATGGTGGCCACTTTGTAGTGCCCGAAGAAATTTTGTAGTTTTCAATCCATTTTGCTTCTTTCATGTCTGGTTTAGAATGGTTTCACACTTAGTAATATATAATTTTTTCAAAAAATAGGTTGAATTTATTTAAAATATAAACCAAATTGGCTTCCCCCATTTCCCAGTCTCTGATAGCTCCAATGACTGCCCAAAAACCCTTTGCCCAAAAACTTTTGGGAGAAAAAACCTTTGGGAAACCCGTAGCCCAAACTTGTGAGAGTTGTCGGTGACAGCTCTGAAGTCTCTCCAGCGGCTTGAATATTCCAGGGCTTTGGTGAGTCAGAGCCGTGGGGCGCAGCAGGGGGCTGTGGGTCTGCCAAAGAATTCTCTATCCCAAGCCAAGAAAAAACTGGGAGAACTATAGGGAAATAACCCTAACATTACTCATACCTTAGTTTTATTTTTCTCTCATTGATATATGCCCAGGTGCTTAGGTGTTGTTGGACATCTGTGCAAGCTTAAAATAATGAGAATTAATTTTCTACTTATTGTGCAAAAGCTGGGAAAATATTTTCAAGGAACATACAGTCAAATGCCTGCTTTTTACTTACCACAAATCCATGGTGTTTAGTCTCTTACATGGCATGCTCAAAAACTGGATGCAAACTATTTGAAATTTAAATACTTTTTCTTAATGGTGAGGGGTTTTTAATTAATCATTTTTTAGGGTTTTTAATATCTCAAGGGATTTTTTGTGTGTGTATGTTTGTGTGTACACGTGGTTTTATTAAGCTGTAGACCAGTGAAATGGTGATTTGCTAGTTTATTTAACATATTTAGCAAAAATTGTGGTCTGTAGTACCTGTAACAGTTCTTTGACAGAATCCTAAATGGTAAAACAGCTTTGCCTTTTTAAAGCATGTTAATGTTTTTTACAAACACTTCCTTTTGTATACTGAGTGAATGTATTGCTATAGGTTTTATGTTTAATGGACCAATAAAGTTTTTCTTACATTGGAAATGAATTCTTGTGGTGCATAAAGCTGTAAAATTGGCTCATTTTAGGACAAATTTCACGTGTATATAAATTTATGAACTAAAGAGTTGCCGACCAGATACAGGTAAGTGTGTTGATCTTTCTTGTTCATGAAGTTTGGGCATGCTCTAACCAGACCAGGTTGGCCTGAGGAATGTTATGTGGCTTTCTCCATGCACATGGCTCATCCCAAAGACGATAGCAGAACGTCATGGGTTCCCATGGATTTGTCACTGGGAGTTGTGGAGTATTCGAGGGGTATTTGCCACGGGTCTTGCAGCACTCGGGGGAAGAGTTAGGCTTTGGTGAGGCTTGTGACCGTTGTGTGCGCGAGCCAGGCGCTCCCGGGAGCACTCGCACACTTGCAGATGCTGCATAGGGCTAAGGGCAGCTGCCTGTGTGGGCAGGAAGGGGCTGCGCTGCTTTTGGAGATGGGATTGCAGCATCTTTAAATGCCAGAGGCCACCCAGGGACCTCAGTCTGTGCTGCAGTGGGCTGGGAAGAGGCGGCTGTGTGAACCTTTACACGCGGGCTGGTGGAAGCTTGGGCAGGGGGGTTTCCCAAGCCCCGAGCCTGCCCTTGGGTGAGCGCAGGCGGAGACTT